AACCTCACGCCCTGTGCTGTCTTTCGTTCGGAGTGTTAGCTGTGCGGAAAAGAGGCCTAGAAAAACAGCAAGATGGGGTGTGCCAAGGATTTTTGGAAATTGAGTGTGGGGACACAGACGAAACTGAAATCCCCCGTGTTGGTCCGATGGAGCAAGTCGATCGTTTCGCGCGTCGCGAAATACGCGCGCGGGCAAGGCGGGAAAGAGAGGGACCCAAATTCAATCCAAAAAGTATTGCCGTGCCTCCCACCGGGCTACAGCCCGTCGTTTAGAACAGAAAGGCTTGGGCACGCTTCGCGTGTCTCTTTTTCGTATCAAATCCCGTCGTCGTTCGCTGGTTAGTTCCGAGTCTGACGTGGAGGGTCTCAGTCGCGTGGCTCTTTCTTTATGCTCGTCTTCACTCCGCACACGGTAGTGGAAACCCCTGGACTCGTAGCGCTCAAAACGCTGACATTCGGTGCACAGAGTGCGCGGACAGTGGGGTTCTACTGCCCTCCACGGAATGACGATTAACTCGTTAAATGACAACAATACCGAGTAAGGTGGGAAGTGCGTATCGATAATAACAAACCCGGCTTCTACGAACCCAGAACAGCGGTTGGCCGGAGGGAAGTAATATTGCGCGCTGATTTGTGCAACGGCTTCTCGTACGTCCCACTCACATACACGTGTCCTTTCCTCACTGTAAGGAAAAGGTCGTGTTGGGATGAGAGATACGGGAGGCTGGCGCCCAATCGAAGGGTACTTGTCAGTCCACATGTCAATCAATCATAAAATATCATGAGACATCATTAAGAACAGAAGCGATTCGCGCGTCCCCCAATCAATCTTTTTGACACAAGAGAGAGAAAGCAATCACAGATCAGTATGGCTATGGGTCCGATCAGTTCAACACAACGTTGGTCCCTGGCGCCTTGTTTCTCAGGGCCGCCTCGTGACTCGGCTGCTAATGTCGTACATCATAAGGCAGATGGCATGCGCAGTGCAAACAGAGCTACAGATCTAAACACTCTTGCATTCTCGAACAAAATCCCAACGACACCTGTCTAATCAAATCGAAAAAGTCACGCATCTCTATACATGCATTCACTGTGGAAGGTGCGAAAATGAGACATGCACAGGAAAAGATGGATCGCATTGCACAATACACACGCATCCAAAGTTCACAACGCAAGTAGACGGGGTCCTTGCGTAGGAGGATTACCCAGGAAACTAATGGAAGAGTTCCGAAAGAAGTCTTTCACACAGAAGCAGAATGCCAACTCATTCCTACTCAAGAGAGGGACAATCATTCAGACGCATCATCATGCAAAGAGAGAGAGAGAGTCGAGGGAAAGAAAGTCCAAAATAGAAGATGACAAGATCCAGGAAGAGAAAAGTTCGGCGTCACCGCCGTACACTCACGCCAAAGATAACAATCCGCAACAAAGGCGCATTCGCCGTTAATTCCATTATGGCCCCGGGCCAATCAACTCAACATCGATCTTCATACCCGCACCGACGATCCCGACCGAAGCGTGCTAACTCCCACGACTGCGATCGTCACCCCGTTGTTGTAAACTCGACACGGTTCACCCCGATCCCACAGTCCGTCGTGGCGATCCAGCGCGCAACCGGCCAGTCTATGGTCAGCCTGACAGGACTTTCCGACTCGCTTCAAACACTCTGCCTAGCCACTGCTTCCTGGAAGCTGGCTTGAGAGTCGAGAACGTAAGAGAGTTTTGCGGACGCGCTTGCGGGTTTTATAGTTGCGAAAGGGGAGATAGGAGGGGGAGACGGCGACATGAAAGCTAAGGTGTAAGAGGAGAAGCACGAGGACAAGACTTTGAGAAGAGTGCTCTACGAACGCCATGCTGATCCCTCGGAACTGAAGGTTCAACCAATCAGATTCGTCGCGGGATAGGAAGGTCCTATTGATCGACGCACCTGATTGGCGAGCGGGAGTTATCGGGGGATCGACCGGGCGTCGTACGCCAGACTTAGAGGGTGAGAAGAGAAAAGGCGCGAGAGGTGGCGCAAGATGGGTCCAAGATTCAGATGATCAAGAAAGGGAAATGGGCGCGCGAAAGCAAGGCGGGAGAGAGAGAGAGGGAGAAGGAAAAACAGTTACGGGAAGAGAGAAAAAGGAGGGAGA